CATTCATCAATCAAATTGAATCGATTTATCACCCAGCTGGTAGAAAAACAGTTTGGAGAAAAACAGTCCCTCAAATGGAAAGAAACCTCCAGAAGAACCAGGGTCAGTGTGAGCAGCCATGTGCTGAGCCCACTTCTAAGTGCAGACTTTGACTAGGCCATTTCCAAACCTTTATTTATTTATTTTTAACCAGTCAGTGCTTGACTCACCTGTGGATAATAAATAACCTAAATAATCTAAATGCATAATCCAAGTTTACTTGCGTTTGCTGTATATGATCCCTTAGGATAACTACAGCAAGTCACCTAGGCCCTGAGGTTAGGTTAAGGAGAACATTTCAGGTTTAACCTGTAAACCTTTCTGGAAGCTGGATTTTTTGTGTGGCTAGTCACCATGGCAATACTCTGAATGGCAAACCTGCCCTTTCATTAAAGACCTGATTTAATTCAGAGGGAAAAATAGAATAGAATACTAAATCCATTTATTTTTCCACAATGGGGAAATCATGGTGTAACAGCAGCAGCAAATGGTTACAGCAGAAGTGGTCACACAATGTGGACCTCAGAAAAATAACAGAATAAGTGAAAGAGTTAAGAAAATAAGCACATTAAGTATTGTACTGTACAGTTCTTTTACAATATAAAAACTGTATCTGGAGAATAAATAATCAATAAACAGCTGGGGACATTTTACAGTGAAGGATTTATGAAAACTAGCAGCACATCAGAAATGTGGAAAATGACAGCACCATATTGTTTAACTGACTAAGATAGAAACAGAAATCAGCATGACTGTAGCAACAAATTGAGGTTGTTGGGAACAGTGATGGTTAAAGAGTCTTACCGTTGCTGAGAGAAAGGATCTGTGATAATGCTCCCTGGTGCATTTTGGTGCAGCAGTCTGTCGCTGAAGGAGCTCTACAATTCTGCAACATTTTCATGCATGGGGTGGGAAACTTTATTCAACAGATGTGTTCATTTAGTTAGGATCCTTTTGTTTCCCACCTCCTGCATTGTGTCCAGAGGCCATCCAATCACAGAATAATAAAAAAACCTAAAATAACATCACAATAACAGAATTAGAAAACCAAAAAGCAGTTAAAACAAAATATTTCCTTGAAAAATTAAATTGTTTTCAATGTGTTTTTTTTCTTCTCTTTTTTGACAAACAAACTTTTTACTATTTTGTATTTTTCGTGCCCTGTATAAGAACCCCTGGTATTCACTTGTTTCTTTTATAATTAATATATGGAATTGAATAAAAAATCAAATACAAATCAGAGCACAAATTGTGAGAAGATCCTTTGGATCACAGTGACGACTACTTAGGAGAGACAAAGGATTTCAAGGGTCGGACTGGCATAAATATGCTAGATTATGTGTTTCAGCTGTGTGGCCCTCACTGTAGCTGCAATATAACGCAGATTCATGTCCACCATTGGGGATGCTGAGCGGTTTGGAAAACTTTCCAATCTGCCGAGCAGTCAGTCAAGGGTCCAGTGCTCTGATACGGTTGATGAATGAATTCATTGTGCATGGCGTTTCGGCTGAACACCATACATTTGCTTCTCTTGCTTCTGCACTCATGGTTGTTATCGGTCTGCTACCTTAAACCTGCCCCTTTATACGTGCACGTTCCCTGATTCATGATCATTGATATACGTTGTAGATTGGATAAGCTGGGAGTAATCCTGCTAGGCTGAGTTTGCTTTTTGGTTCAGGTCTCAAGAGCAAAGGAAGTAGATTTAGATCATTACATTATCGTTACAACACCATTATAGTTGACTGTTGGTCTTTTTTTGAAGTGCTTAACTTTACACCAAATTTAACAACATCCGCACTTTCCTACAAATTCCACTTTGGCCTCATCAGACCATGAAACGATTTCCCAGAGGTCTTTGAGATCATTTAAAAAACTGAAGATGGGTCTTAGTTTTCTTTTTGAACTCCAGCTTCTTCCTTAAAGCTGAATCATGAACTCAGCGCTGTGTGGGGTCTGCATTGCTTTAGGTGTTGTATGCGTCTTTTATGACCTCTTGGATGGGTCAGTAATTCATGGGGGCCAACCACTCCTAGAAAACTAATGTTTAATGTTTTTTTTTCTCCATGTCTGTGGTTAATACCTTCTTCTGTGATGTAGCAGATCAAGCCTTAAAAATGGCTTCATAACCTTTTCCAAACTGATCAATATCTGGTTCCCGTTTGTTCTTAAGGTTTTTTTTCCAAACTTTAAGCCTACTTCATGTTGTCAGATGGGTTCTGTTTGGATGCCTTCCTTTGTATGGTTCTAGTCATGCCTTGTTGTGGCTGAGAGATTGAGCTCAGCTTTCCCAAAGGTTTGGTTAATCCCAGTGATTCAGGGATTTACCTTTTTAACAATAACTTCATGTCTACATAAACCTTAAAAAAAGACAACCATTTAAATTTCATTTGGATGCCTTTGACGGCCACATTTCTTTGACCTGAAACATTTAAATGAGATTAAAATAAATCTGAAAGGGATATAAAGAGATATGATAAGCCCTATAAATGATATATACCTTGTATGAAAATGGATGTTTTTATGCTCTTTTTCTTTAGGCTGGCACTATCCTCCTGGCAGGGATGGGGATGTTCTGCGGCCCCCTGTACCACCAGGCTCTGACCGGAGACCCCAGCATGGGCAAAGTGGCTCCCATGGGTGGTGTAGCCATGATTGCTGGCTGGTTGGCCATGATTCTCTGAAGTCTGACAGCTCACATCTTCTCCAGAGGCCCGCCGTGCCCCAGCAAACTGTCAGAGCTCGAATGGATGAAGTGGAGAGTTTTAGGAGTTTGCTGAAGAAAAAAAAGAGCTGAGTTATAATGTCACCCGTCCAACGGCTGCATGCCTCGAGGAGGGGGATGTCAGCATGAGATAAGGTCGCAACAGGATTATCACTTCTCAGACGCCGCGCCTGACGCTGATTGGTGCCTTGTGACCGTTTTTTTGCTAAACTTTGGAAGGAAATGAACACAGTGTTTGAAATGTTGCTAACCCTACAGCCTTGGATCATTTTTAATGAAGCGTCAGCTTTTGGCAAGAAAGGAAAACTCCTAATAAGTAAAGAAATGAAATGTCTGTATATTGGAGAGTATAGGTGTCCTGAAATTATGGCTTGTTTATATGTTACTGAGGGGAGAATTATGTCTCAAAAAGTAATCATCTACATGAATTTTCAGTTTGTATTTGTCAAAGAAAATGAAATGCACTGTTAGAATCATATAATGTTCTTTGGTGTGATGTGAATTTTCTCAGGTGTGATCCGGTTTTCCATACATTGATTTTAGAAAAAATAAGGATTAAATGTGAAATCACATGTAATAAATTCTGAAAACTTCATTAAACGTGTCTTCTGTTTCAGTTATTATTAGATACCCACTGTCTGATTTCTATGCGTTTACTTTTTAGCATCCTAATTCTTTGTGCTCCTGGAAGGTGACGGTTTAAAGTAAGGATTTTAATTTCAACAACATGTTCTTGACTGCACTTTATATTAATTTTTTTTTACCGGCTCAGCTGGAGTCCTAATTTGAAAGTGACAGAACATCTGTAAAGGAGGCGAAAGATTAAGGTGATGGTATAGAGGGCCTCCAAGCTAAGGTTTTTGGAGTTAATCATCAAAGATAAAGGATTTTAAATACCCTCCTTTTTATAGGTTTTATTTTTAGACATCACATGGGGCACTGTTAAATCAATTCAGCACAATATGACATCCAATACTGATCTGAGATAGTTGTCAGAATTCGAGACAAAAATGTAAATCAACTTGACATCAATCCTTTGACATCAGTTTGCTGTATGTGAATGATTTTATTGATATAATTTTGACATTTTATGTCACGCTTTTGCAAATAAAAATTATTTTTAGGCTCTAGTGGTCTATTTTAGAAAGTAGGCTGTCATAAACTGCGGTTAGAAAGGGGGAAGATCATACAGCAAGGGTTACCAGGCCACGATTCATAAGGGCTGAATCCCAAACCACTAACCCCTCCGATCAAGTATCACTCCCAATGAAGTGTCACTCTCAGCGGTGGAAGGCTACTTGATTGAAGGTGGGGGTTATAAACGAGAATGGGACGGCTTCTTCCCTCCAACGAAAAGAAAAGCAGTCGTTGCTATGGCGACAGAGCAACGCCCCGTGTGTGGCTGTAGCTCTGTGGCAGAGGTTAATATAACAAAACATTTGCCCCTTTCTTCAAATAAAACTTTCCAAGAGGACCTTCCATTTTGGAATTAATTACCTTTTTTTTCATAAACTAAAATCTGATTTTCTGTCAGTGTGATGAAGATGATGCAGTGAGCCTGCAGCTGATGCAGACTCGCTATTTAGGGGATGAAAGGTCAACTGGCCCTACCAGCTATGTGGTTTGGGACGGTACTTAATGTGGCGAACACTCTGCGGGAACGTGCAAATAGAGGGTTAGTGTTTAGGGGCCGGTTTGGGATTTGGCCAACCTGTGACTGCTGCATTGAAGATTAAAGCCTCCTGGTTGCATGAAATTCATTTAAAATCTGAATCAGTCTGGAACACAATAAAAAAACATAATAAAATAATATTTTTATGGATAAAACTGGTATTGATGGCAGGGTTTCAATTGTTCCTATGGACTCCTGAGAAGTATAAAGTGAGATTTTTCCTTAAATCTAAAGCAAATTCATTTATAACAAACTTGAAAGACATTAGATATCGCCCAAATTAATAAAACAGAGTTTAAAACAAAATGTTAACGTAGAGACAATAATCCATTATAGACGTAACTAAAAATAAAATGCACTTCTACGAAAAAACAGATTTTATTCCTTGTCTGAAGTGTTATCGGTCAATCTTTCAATCCTTCCACCTCTCAGTCTGGCTGTCCGCGCTCCATCAATCCTTCTATCGATCCTTCCTTCCTCACAGGCTATAATTTATAGACTCTACAGTCTGTGATCACTGTTCACATATTTGACATCCTGAGGTTTCTTTCAGCTAAGAGGGAGTTTCTCCTTTCCACCTTTGCAACATCCATGCCCAGTTTGAGGGGTTTCTCCAAAAGGATTCACTTGATGCAATCAACTGCTGTCACCACCTGCTTGCTCAGGGGGACGGATTACTGTGAACTCTTAGTGACTCTGGGCCTCCTAAGATGGAGCTTTTTACCAATTGGCATCACAGGCTGAGTTTGGCTGCACTCTGTGGTAACAGCGATAAAAGGAATGTAACTAACTGAATCTGAATTTGTCTACATGGAGGGATTCAGTTACTGTAGTTTTGTCTTGTAAAGTGACTTGAGATGATATTTGTTGTATACTGGTGCTACATAAAGTGAATTTAACAGATGTAAAAACTGAAAACCCCTCCTAAAACTAGCTGAACATTAATTGAAATATATCAGATTTTGAGTTTTGTCAAAAAATAATAAGACATTATATATTGTTCTCCAAATTAGATGTTAATATACAAAATGATTACTACTAAATGATACTTACTAATGCCTTCTTACAATCTAGGAAACCCTAGATGATGATGACCAGTTTGTGAGATTGTCCATGTTTGAAACATTTCTGTAAAATTTATAGGCAAGTACTTTATGCTCTGTTTCCAAGAGAAACATTATGGAAATATGGGAAAAATAATACATGCAAGATATCTAATCTTTGGGTAAAATATGAAAGTGTAAATGTAATATATAAAAAAAAAAAGAAAAGGAGGGTTTTTTTTTATCCACAGTGAAATTGATCTAAAGGAGGAGGAAGTCCGAACAAAAGACGTCATTCCTCAAAGGAAAAATAAATGTCAGATTAAAAATCCTCCTTCTGAAACTAAAACGATAAAAAAGAAATAAAACATTATCCTGACTAGGAAAGCATGCAGGATGGCAGATACATGATTTGAGTGTATTTTGCACGAGGAGGGATAGTGCACTTCACAAAAAACGGTGTTCAAAACTAGGGATGTAAATCACATCCATCATGGCGATTCGATTCAGTATCGATTTCCTGACCCAACAATTCGATTATTTTCGATACTCAAGAATACACCACGATTCGATTCGATTCGATTAATCGGTTAAATTTTTTTTTTATTATCATTATTTTTTTTACACCTTACAGGCTAAACAAAGTTTCAAGTTTGAAATAAATCAATGAAAGCTGTAAGATCATTATGCATTTTCTTTAGAAACAACAGCAAATAACAGAAGTAGAAAAGTTGCATCAAAAAATACTGTAAAAATACTGCACAATATCAGTGTAATGAGTTCAATGCAACACCTCGGCTCCAGAGAAACTGTCCAACATATTTTTTTAGAATGTAATAAATATACTCAGGAAAGAGAGATGTTGCGTAGATAGTTAGACAGGAATAAAAATAAACTAGATATAAGGGAATTGTTTCAAAGGTAATCTGGGGATGTAGTTTTTGGGAGTATTTTTAATTTTCTAAGAAGAACGGGTATTTTAGGGAGAATATAATATTTTGTCTGATCCATACTCCATTCTGGAAGGTGGCGATAATGCACCTATTAGTTGTTTGCCAACCGCCATTAAAAAAAGGAAGAAGAAAAAGGCCCCAGAGAGTCGACGTCACCGCCCCCTTGAGAGACGCTCCGCTGCACCTCTCCCAGATTGTAGCTGATTGCAAACAGTGCAGCAGACAGGAGGCCGGCTTGTTTTGTTTTTATGACCGAAATTGCAGAAAACAACTCGTGAAGTTTGACCCGCTAGAAGAGCGAGGTGGGCGAGAATGCTGGGACCCTTTTTCCAGCTGGATCTCCGCTCTTTTTGGCCCTCATGTCCCTCCGTCGTCGGACTTAACTCACCCCCACTTCCTCACCCCCTCGGCCGTATCTAGACCAGCTCAGACCACGCTTCAATACTGAGCATAATTTAAAAATGTCTGTGTCAAGCTTACTGCCACACACTGCTGTAAGAGTATAACCAGGAAGCGCGGTAGGAGGGCAAAATAGGTTTAGCGGCACCGCAGCACGGGAGGGAGAATTACGCCCAGGAGCAAATTGATAAAAATAGACTGGAGGAAAAAAAAAACATGAATCGATTCTCTTGCGGACGTGTCGATGCATCGGATCGTCGGCTTTTGGATCGATGCATCGATACAAAACGATTATTATTTACACCCCTATTCAAAATGTTGTATTATTCTGGAATACAAACTTTAGAACAGTTTAGGGGCATAGGGTTCAGATCATGCCAAGAGTTTATTTAGAGTGGCTCAGGTTATCCAAAGCTATAGCTATAGTTATGCTGCTATAGGCTTTGACTGCTGGAGCACATAGGGACCATTTTCATCTTTCAGCTTCATTCTCTCTCTATTCTCCCACTCTGCAGAATTTGTTTGTTTAATCTCTAACGTTAAGCTCTCTCTGTTTTTTCTCATAATAGCTTTGCCTTGTCTGTTCCTGTTTGGCTGTGACACCATCCTGGAGAGAAATATCAGCCGTGCTGCTGCAATTAACACCTCTGTCTATAGATGTTGGCAATTGGCCTGTTTTTCAGTTTAGTCTTGTTTCTCCAACTGTGACTAATTGTATGTGCTCTCTATCATCCTGACAGGGGAGCTGGCTGCTGTGTGTTTCCTGGACGGGGCCATCTGTCAAGCTGGCTGACAGTTGCCTTTTGTATCTCAGCTTATTTTTCCATGTCTGCTTCTGTCTCCTTGAACCCCAGTCGGCCTCGGCAGATGGCCGCTCACACTGAGCCTGGTTCTGCTGGAGGTTTCTTTCTGTTAAAAGGGAGTTTTTCTTCTCCACTGTCGCTACAAGCATGCTTAGTGTGTGGTATTGCTGAAGAGTCAATGAGACG